TATGTCCAGATTTACGTTCCATTGTTTTTCCATAACATATAACAAGCAATTTTCGTTCAATCCCATTTTATATCTCTTTACAGCTACACAGGTAAAACAGTTACTCGAAAATATCTTTCAAACACAATTGAATCACTACAATTACACACATAAACAAAGATTTATCGCTTAATTTCAACGAACATTATATAGACTATATAAGTTTCGTTCAAAGAGCCAACCCAAGCACCAACAGCACAAAAACCAAAATAAATAAACTAATAAATAGGAATCCATTATTCCCGAGCTTCGAAAAGCTTTATAGGTCTCTCGAAGAACTAAATGGAGATGTTTTAGATTTTTTTACGAGCATTCTCTCAGATATATGTATACGTCTGTGGAGAGCAAGAGAGAGAACAAGTAAGAGAGAAGATAGAGAGAGACTCTTAAAACATAAAAGGCCAATTCATTTTGAATCGGATCAGTTTTTAAGAGAGAGGTCGTTATAAAAATAAATAAAAAAATAGAGGCTGCGAGGAAAGATAAAAATGGAATCGGTTTTCGAAGAGATGTTGTGCTAGACGAACCTAAATTAGAATTTTCTGTAGCACGATTAGATAGGGATACGTGTGATACAGGGTGTTCTTCGGAAAGTTCGAGTTTTCGAAACAGGATTTTTTAAACAGATTGGTAAACAAAACTCATACTGTTGCATTGATAAACTATAGACAAAAATAAGTGCAGATATTTTTAGGGAACAAAAAAAGTCTCAAAATGAATTTAGCAAAAACTAAAGTAATATCACAGATTAGGTATACTATATTTATATACAGATAAAAATCTTATCCCTAATTCGTGGTACGAAAATTGTTTTTTATGACGATGTGCAAACGAGTAAAATTTCCTGTGCGCAAAAATAAACTCGCGTAAAATAACAATAAACAGCGTAATAGAGAGATATCGCTAAACCGAATAGCGTGCATGGACGTTAATAAGGCCAGGTGTTATTTCCTTTACGTGAGGTGGTATTAACTCTCTTCATTTATAGTTAGCGGATCGGAAAGAATTCTGTTGGCGTGGCGTCCGCTATTTAAACTTAACCTAACTTTGAAATTGTTTTTTACTAGGTATTTTAAAACTAAAGGGCTTATTTCCAGTGCTTTATTGTTCAACGTCTGCCAGTGGGTTTAGGGCAACAAGCAACAAATTCTCTGAGAAGGGCTAAGTGGTCATCTGCTGTAAACCTAAGCCTCTTTATAGATTCTTTAATATTGGAAGAGGTGGAATCCATATTTTGGCCCATATTTATTTAATTAAAACTAATCCCAGCTACTTAAATATCAAATTACCTAATAAAACTAAAGTAATAATTCAAAACAATTCAAACATAGCCTAAAATAAAAGATCTCGCCGGCCGGCCTCGGTTGTCAAATACCCGCACATGCCCATTTAAGCAATTTTTAAACGTTATTTAGAAATAGCGCTTGGGGTAATTGATCCGCAAATTACGTCAGACGGTAACGTTATTAGCGGGTGTTGCGTTAAAAATTGACTCGCGCATATCGTAACCATGATAATAAGTAAATACTGCATGACGCTATTCGGTTTTCCGATATCTCTCTAATAACTGTGCCGGTCAGGCGCTGTGCACAATTTTAGAGGCCATAAGTGGGCGTGCTACGAGCAAAGAGAAATATGTATAAGTGTTTTCTTTACAAAAAACTCATGGATGTATTTCTGGGGTGGAACTACAATTCGCGCATTTTATTAGGGGACACCCTGTATAGTTATAAGGTATAAAAATTCTAAATAAAACGACTGAGGTTTGAACACGATGGGATCTCTGAGCGGGTATGCAAATTTCTTCTATCCCCGATGGAATGAACCGTCCGCTGGTTCTCTGTTGGCGGCATGTTTTGTGAGAGGGAATTTTTAATTTTATTTTGAGCCAATTTATTTATTTATTTATTTCTGTTGGTGTATCAGGTGAAATGCTCTGTAACTGATAAAAACATGTATTGTTTTATTAAGTATATACCAATAAATTGTATTAAAATGAGATGATTAGTCTCAAATAGATTCAAGAGAAATTTTCGAATTTTTCAAGAGAACCAGTTTTCTTGAGTTAAATATTTTCTTTTACGCTCAAATAAATTCTTTTGCCACTAATTTTTTTTTCAAGAACGATGACGACTTTAGTTCAAATCTATCTTTTTTATCAGTGTGGCTTTTATCAAAGCCCTTAGACTGTATGATGAAACTCAAGAGAGGGGAGACAATAACTGTGTATGTATGTAGACAAAAATTCCAAATTTTCAAAATCAAATATTTGAAAGAAGAATGAAAACATGAAAAACAAACCAAGGATAAATATAAAAATATAAATGACCTTGACAAAAAATCGAATTTACGATTTATAAATCTTTAATACAAAACCATCTAATAGGCGGTCCTTTTGAGCCGACTTTCGTTTGTTCCTCTCCAAATAAAAAATCGAACCAGAAAAATTATAATATGGAAATGTCACCGCGCGCTGTTTATACATTTTTACCCGGGCTTCGTTCGTACATTTAAATTGCAAAAAGGGCCCCTATGTTTATTGGACGGACCGACAACTGTCCCGGCCTAGGACCGGTTGCTTTGGCGTTCTTCTGTTCGTTCTTGTTCTTTTTCAGCCTGTTCGTTTGTACCTTCGGTGCGCGCGAAGAACGGCCATCTTGATCGAGCGAGGTGGCTCGATGACCCTTGGTAATCTTTACATGCATATTACCCTTTTGGGAAAATTGTAAAGTATCCAAAAGACTCATTTAACTATTACTTCGTAGCCTTCCGTAACTCGCGACTCTTTTTTCTACGTAAGTATTTTCGTGGTGTATTTTAATACACCAAATGAAGGCCCCGCAGTGGGAAAATCACCAGGTCCCCGCGATGGGAAAATCACCAGGTCCCCGCAGTAGGAAAATCACCAGGCCCCCGCATCGCAGTGGGAAAATCATTAGGTCAACGCAGTAGGAAAATCACCAGCAGTCCTGGCAGTGGCAATATCCCAAATTGTAATATACTTTCTCTGTTCTATACAGGGTGGTTAGGTAGTTTATATCGAAATTAAATTTTGGCAGCATATGTAGGTTAACTGAAAGCATTTTATAAAAATATATAGAATTATACAGAGTGTCCCCAAAAAAAGTTACACATCAAAGTTGTGGTTTTTCTAATGGAACACCCTATATATTAATCGATTTTCGGATTCTAGGAAAAAAATAAAGGTGAGTTTTATTAAAGAAGCATATACCTAAAATCTAAGGATTTTTACATATTTCACATTTTGTGAAAATGAAGAGTAAATTTCAAATTTCGATAACAGCTACCTAAATTTTAGTTGACCTTGTATAGCCTGATATTTAATTACAGTGACCATTGTATGTTAAACCAAATTCAAATTTGACCCGAAAAGTTATACAGAGCGAGACAAAATTAATATGGAACATTAGTCACTTTTAAGCATGTTACTCCTTTACTTTAAATGGAACACCCAGTATATTTTTCCGGTGTTCAATATTATTAAGGTTGCCTACCCCTCAGACAAGGATTTTCCTAGATATTTTAATTTTTATGATTTTAAGTCAGTCTCAAAATCTAGGTGGAGTTCTATGTCGAAAAGCAGCTACAATAATTATTTCTCTCATGTTGTCGACACTAGTTGGTCGAGTTTTGTAAACATTGTTTTTAACATATATAACTCTTTGGTTCAAGTTTTAATTTGATTTAAAGTACAATAGTCAATTTAACTACATATCAGGCTATACCGGGTAAATTCCAATTTAAGTAGCTTTTATCGTAATTTAAAAATTGTTCTTTATTTCTAGAAAATGTTAAATATGTCAAAAACGTTATCTCCTCTTATAAAACTCACCTTTATTTTTCTCCCAGAATCCGAAAAGCAATTAATGTATATGGTGTTCTATTACATAAAACACAACTTTGATATGTAACTTTTTGGGGGGACACCCTGTAAAACTCTCTATATTTTTAAAAAGTGCTCTGAATTAACCTACATATGCTCACAAAATTTCATTTCAATACAAACTGTCGTTCTCCTTGGAACCTCCGCGACATATGAGAGGCGGCACCCTGTACAATAAGTTAGTAATTATGACACCATATTGTATAGTCTAAAAAAGACAGAATACTTAGCTGTCAATTCCAACGCTTGTTTTGAAGTCTTCATAGATGATAACGTCCAGATTCAACAGTAGACAAATTTAAATACCTGGGTGCTATTATCAACAACGAGGGTTTGGACAGAGAAGAAATACAAACCCGAATTTAGAACAAGTTATTGGATGTCTTAATAGCCTCTGGTGGGACCGAAACTTGTCTGCAACAACTAAAAAAGAGTCAGTTCTTTGCTATAGTTCAGAGCTACGGACTCTAAGTGCAGTTACAAAGCGCAAAATCCAAGTTGTTGAAATGGACTATCTTAGAAGAAGCGCAGGTATATCTAGGATGGAAAAAAGACAAACATCGAGGTCAGGCGTAACATGCATGCATCGGAGGAAACAGTGCTAGATCGAATCGAAAAATCCAGCTTAAAGTGGTTTGGACGTATTCTGCGTATGCCGGAGAACAGGTGGCCAAAAAAAGTTTTTCGATGGGCTCACCAGGGCAGAAGAAAGAAAGGCAGACCTAGAAAATACTGGAACGGAACCGTTAAGGAAGGAATGGAAGCTCGTAACCTAGAAGCTGATGACGCACTAAATCGAGAGGTGTGGCGTAGGGTAATGGGAAGGCAGCAATAGGCTGTAGTTTGAAAAAAGTATCAAATACTTACACCAAATCCCGTTTATATATATATATATATATATATATATATATATATATATATATATATATATATATATATATATATATATATATATATATATATATATATATATATATATATATATATATATATATATATTAAGACACCTATTATTAGCATACTACTGTTTCTAACGATTTTCCTCTTTCTGTTTCAGGTTCACGAGCTGTGTGACAACTTCTGTCACAGGTATATTAGTTGTCTGAAGGGCAAGATGCCCATCGACCTTGTGATAGACGAGCGGGACAGCGGGAAGCCGCCCGAACTGACCGGCTCGACGAACGGCGACGGCGGTACGAGGAGTACCGCCGACTCCACGTCGCACACAGATGGCGCTAGCACGCCGGATGTCGTAAGTACCCTTTGGAAATTGTTGTAGGACATGTTTAGAAACACATACACACCTCAAAAGTCGTTTTCGTGGTTTCAAAATAACAAACACTTAAATCAATATTGTGTCTGCATTCTTAAAATTCCTTTCGTAGACACAGATACTCTACACGTACTTAAAGCCTAAAGCAAAAATTTCTTTTACTATTTTCTTTTGAAGAGAATTTCTTCGCTTTGGATTCTAGGTCTGCAACGAACGGCGCTTCGGCGCGCGGTGCAAGCGGTTGCTTCGCTTGAGTCAGCGGACGTGCATTATATAACACAAATTTAATCCGTTGCACGGTTTTTCGCCGCGCTTAGCCGCGCCGCGCTGCGCATAAGTGCGCGGTATGCTTTAATCGCCTCATTTGACAGCCCCCGTCATTCGACGCGGGTGAGTTTGATCGACGTGATGCCAGCCGAAGACGAAGAGGAACAGTGAGGTAGAGAGAGGGAGGAGGAGGTATTCGCCCCGAGCCTGAGTGTATTAGCTCATTTTCGTGATGCTGTTTGCAAAAAGCTTTGGGGGAGCTTAAAGCAAAGGGAGTTTTGCTGGTAATTGGTGTCAATTTAGACTGACGCATCGTCGGAAGCAGGCTAGGGGCAAGGAGGGGCGAAGGGGGGTAAAATGTTCGAGGGGGATCGTGTTACATCGTCCCCCACATCGAGTCGAGTCGGTTTCTCTTGTTGTGTGTGTGTAGAGCGTTGCGGTTGCACGGAGGTTTTTCTCTCAATCGGCAATAGAATAAATAAAACTGAGACGATATCGCTGGCTTTAAAAATGGACCAATTATCTTTTGCTCTTTTTACTTGTTCCATTAATATCTTTGTTCATTGTTCTGTTCTATTTTTTCCATAGCAACTGTTAAAATTGCTTTATATCTATCAAAAATAGTAGATAAAATAGAACTTTAACCGCCAGGGTAGATTATTAAATGATAAGCGGGGATAGGTTAAAAACTTTATTCCTTCACGCACGTTTTTTAATAATTGCTTCCATTTTTGGCGTTTGTCGCCTCAGCCTGAATATCTGTTGGTAATTTACTTATTCCGTTTTGAGACATTTCTGGCGCCAATTCAATCAGCAATCGATACGAAAGAGAATTAAAAAATATTGACTCAAAACTGACAACTAAAGAGACAGCTTTGTTAATTTGTCAAATTACATAGAAACCAACGCCAACCCAGCACAATCTTTTTTCTACTTGTAATAAATTCCTTGAAATAATAATTTAAGAAGGGGATAACTTAGGGGTGAAGGGGGAAGAATTAGGGTGAGTCCATTTTCTACAAAAAGGTACGAGAAGAGTCGTAGTGGAAAATTATTTATTCTGTGCTTCTAACTTGTAGATTGAACCTTCTATATAACTTTTTGCTAATGGCCCAATCATTGCCTAGTACAAAGAACAGCACAGTAAGTATAAATAATCACACACGAGAGTATCAGGACATGGAGGAACTGAAAATAATGTTCTTGCAAGAAATAAAACCAGTGATTTACAAATTTAAAACTCCTCTGTTAATATTACAATTCAATATAATTTTTTTAACAGTTTATAAACATAGGAAAACTTTTTTTTATTTATCAAATTTAATAATTACTTGATCGTAAATTAAGATGCCTCGTACGCCACTGACATGAAATGTCGTCAGTCAGTCGTCGAGACGTGTTGATTTTTTTCATGCCAAGACGCGATTTCCGAAATAAATTTACGTCAATGGATGCGTGTCAAAGCTCGGTGAATTTTCGACCTTTCTATATCGATCACTGCCAATAAGTTCAAACGAAAATATTCCGGACTAAATAATATAACCTACTTCATTAAAAAAGGATGGGGCAAGAGAATCTAAACTAAAGATAAGAAGAGGATGCCAACATCTTTAAAACACCTCCAAATATCTCATCTAACTAATAAAACTAAGGGTGTATTCCGTTGCTTGGTTATGGTTTTATGTTCCGTTTCTATCGATTTCCTGAAAATTTTCTTATTACGGAATACGGAAGTTCCTGAAAAATATTTTTCAAAATTGTCACCAAACTAACCAGCGCGAGAAGACTAGTTTTTCTGGTTTTGTTTATCAATCAATGTCATTTATGTAACAGAAATCAAGCAAATATCGGAAGTTCGAGTAAAATTCTCATTTCATTTCTAAAACTTGTAATAATATTTTGTTTTGTTCTACCTATTGAGTACTTACCCACCGCCCGTGTCTCGTTTTTCAGGTAGAATGGCAGTGACGAAAGTGGTTCTTCGTTGGGAGCTGTCTATTTCGAAAAATGACTCAAACTTATGTGCTTTTTTAACAGGACACTCTATATATTATTTTTTATTTTCTTTGCCTTGTTATGAGCTTTCGAAAATTATAATATACTCTATATATATTTATTTAGGTACTGCTAAACTGCTAAACGGCTCTTATTTTATTTAACTTAATTTTACCAGATAATTTTGCTTTGCATCGTGATATTTTGATAAACTACACGGAAACTGAACTTGTGCTGCTTTTAAATAACATGCCAATAACCAACATTTTACGTCGAATAAATTAGTTGATTGTTTTGATTACCTAATTTAAACCGGCCGACTATGTAATAAAGTTAAATAATGCATTTTTACCCCGTTTATGAAAATAAGTATTTTAGAAAGCCCGTAACAAGGAAAATAAAATAATATACAAAATATCGCATTTAAAAAAACATATAAGTTTTAGTCAATTTAAAAAAGACAGATTCCAACGAAGAAATAGTTACGTCACTGCATTCTACGTGAAAAACTGTACGGGAGACCGTTTTCACCTTTTCGATAAGTTATGATACAAAGGGGATCGAAAAATGCAATAATTTCAGATTCGCCCTGTATTTTAGGGAGTAAGAGAGCTAGGACATATCTGTATGTAGCATCTTTAGTTTCATAAAAAAGTAACAGCGTAATGTGAAAACCGCATCTTTGTATTTCGACTCATAAACGAGAAACCCTGCATAACACATGAAAATGGGACACCCTGTACAGACGTACTGCCAAATCAAGAAATCAACTACGAATGAAATCCAAGATCGATTTATATATTTTATATATTTTAATATTTTTTTGTGTTCGTGATAATTCCTTTGCTACTTCTCCAAAACCGACAGTACGTGGAAGGAGCGTTTCGAGGACGTAAACGGACGAAGTAGCGTTTTGACGAAGGAGGAAGGAACACACAGTCGCATAAAATCGACATTTTCCCATAGTAAATATATGATTTTTGGACGAAGGGACGCGAGGAAGGAACGAAGTGAAGTAGCGAAGTGTGAGTATGGGGCTTTAAAGTCAGGAACATTTAAAAAACCATGAGGAACAAGACAAGTAATCGTGAATGTTTTGTAAGCTATAAAAATATAAATATTGACTAGATTTGTTTATTTATTATTGATCTATTTTAATATTGGACTTGCAAATCTTCACTTGAGCTGTCTAACTAGTTTAACAGTTCATTAATAAAGTATTTTTCAATATTAAACACCCATTGAAAAGAAGAAGCAAACGTAAAAGCAGAGAATAGGTACATTAGAAATGCATAAAAAATAAATTTTATAATAAAGTTTTTTAAAATTTCCAGTATTTTATCAAACCGTTCCGTATCAAACCGATGTTTTTCAGAAACCGCTCTTTACCGTAGTTTACCGGTCTGGTTCGCCTGGTTTAAGAAAATACCTCGTTTTTGCCTGGTCTTTTTTCTGATTGCCCAACTCTGATCTTTCATAGAATGACACCAAGGTATTCTTACATATTTTTAAGATCATTTTAAAGAAAATTTCCGGCATGGCAATGTTTAAAAATGTCTTTCCTCCATATCTCCAATAATTTTCCTCGAAGGAACCTTAAAAAAGCGATTTTTCAAGCTCGCTTGGCCCCACATCGCTCAAATAAAAATAGAAGACAGCGTTTGGAATGCGGTCCGTGTGACTAAAACGCGCGTTGGAAGGCGATCAAAAATGAGAATGGTCGGCGATGTTACGATGACAGCGTCGGCGGAACGTCGTCTCGGTCTGAGGATGAAAGATTTAACGCGCTACACGAAGACGGGAAGCCGTACGGGCTTGACCGACAGTTATACAACTCTATTTCCTTCAACGGAATCAGAGATTTATTTGTAATAAGTCAGAGATGACGCCAAATCCATAAAAACATATTTTTGACTAGGTATATGGTATATTTTGACATAAAATTCTCCTCTGTACAGCTAACCAATCTACACTAAGATGCAATGCATGGTCAAATTCAAAATGTTATATTTTTGTTATTTTTAGCCCTATTTTTTTGTTTTTTTTTTTGTTTTTTTTTGTTTTTTGTTTTGTTTTTAAAAGAGAGAAACCCAAAAAACAAAAGCCCGAAAGAAGTGGATGACGCAAGAAATATTAGGCCTCATGGAAGAAAGAAGAAAATATAAGAACAACGATCATGTCCAGTACTTACGAACGCATCGGGTAATTCGCAAAAAGATTAAAGAAGCAAAAGAAACATGGCTTCAGGAATCCTGTAAAGAAATAGAACACCTTCAAAGCTTACACGATGATTTTAACTTACATAAAAAGCTGAAAGAAATCTCTGGTGTACAGAAGAGAAAATTGGTATCAGTACTGCACAACACTAGTGGACAAGTATTAATGACAAATGAAGACCGATGTGATGAGTGGCAACGACACATACTATTTGATGACGACACTCGGGAAGCTCCAGAGATACTATTGGCAGATTATGAAGCAGAATGTGGTCCAAGTATACTCAAATCGGAAGTGGAAAAACCCATACAACAGGCAAAAACAAACAAGACTCCCGGACCAGACGAAATACCCGCGGAACTAATAAAACTTCTCGACAACGACAGTATATCTGTCTTGACAGCATTCTTTAACCAGGTTTACCAAAGTGGAAAATTACCTGGCGACTGGCAGAGATCGATATTTATTGCTTTACCCAAGAATACCAAAGCGAGTAAATG